TATCAAGAAAGTTGTGCTCTTTAATATTTTTGCATTTTTTATATTAAAATTATTAGTAATTTTAAAATTTAGTTAACATATTGATAATATATGCAGTACAGGGAACAAATTTTTTGTTCACCCATCAGCCGCGTGTGGCTTAGTTAACAGTGGAGTGAGTATCAATTTTGTTGGTGTCTTGAATATTTTTGCATTTTTACATAAAAATTATTGGTCATTCTGAAATTTAGTTAACATATTGATAATATATAGCACAGTGCAGTGTTGATTTAAATAAAATAATCTTGAATTACACCTAGTGAACTTAAAATTTTATTGGTGAAATGACTGCATCAAGCATGGGTCCCCCGAAAGGTGATTTCTCCTCCATCCCCACTTCCTTCTCTTCTCCCTTCTCCTCCACCCCCACTTCTAATTCCCATCATCATCATCAACCAGGAACCTTCTACATACACACCTCAGAGTAAGTGTACTTTACTGCATTGTTTTTTTTACTTTGTATGTACTTTTCGGTGAGCTGGAACCAATTACCCAATATCCCATTGAAACAATGGATTCGGTTAACGAACGACTCTGTGGAACGAATTGTGTTCGTTAACCGTGGGACCACTGTAGATTTTTTTTTTAAAACAGTATATTTATTTAATAAAATTTTTAGATAAACTATTCAGAATTATTTGGGTAAAAATATGTTGTGTCTTAACCTAATTAGAACTACTACGTGAGACAGCACTTGAGTTCTCCCTCTCCATGTAGTAACAGGTCGTGTACAGTTGTGTTCGTATTTCATCTGCTTGTACAGTACAGTATATTGTTCCATGATATAAGTAGTCCTACTAAGTAAATGAATGTTTTGTAATGTGATCAACAGTCATACATGAATATTCACTTTTCTATACGTAATGTAGCGTTTGTTTACAAAGAGGCACTTGAACACTCTCCCACTCTGTGTAACAGTTGACCCTTTGGAGGAAAAACTGACCTGACATCCCGGTCAATTTCCCCCCAAAAGGGTCATTTCCCACCCGCAGTGTCTTACTGGAACCCATCTCCATATACTGTATGCAGTGGTACCAAATTCATTTCTCTAACACAATTAGAACAGATACTGTGAATAAAAGTTTAGACAGTTTTTTGCTAGCCATAAATATTTTTACTCATGCCAAGTCTAGATGTTTTGGGAGAGTCTTTGTCTGTGTGAGATGAGATGCACAGTTTTGAGTCGAGATATGTAGTTTACTTTTGGAAAACTTTTCCCAGCACCTAGAAACATTCTGGAGATGTGGACTAGTGTGTGTGTGTCCAAGATGCTTAGTTTAGACTCTCGGAAACTTTTCTCGGTTTCCGGAAACAATTCTGGGAATGAGGGTTTTTTCCGGGTTTGAGAGTCATCTCATTACCTGGAGATCTCTCATCCCCGGAAGAGCTCTGCACTAATTGTTCCGGCTAACTGGGATATCGCTGTAAAGTACTGTATAAAATAAGAAAAATGAAGAGCATGGATGTGTATGTGTGTGGGAAGTGAACGTATGTGAGGAGGCAGTGGGCTGTAACTACGTTGCCAGCCTTGCCATGCTCCCTACCCCGATGTGATGTGACTTTGTCACATTGCCCAGAGGATGGTTTGATTGTGGAAGGAGCTATCTTTTGTACTTAAAATATGTGCTATTTTATTTAATGATATGAATCAATTTTATTGTTTATCATAGCCATTTTTGTTGTATGCAATTTGAAATTTGTTCTTATTGGGCTTATGTTGTACAGTACTCACTAAATCATTCAACTCTGTATATTAATTCTGTTATCCTAGATACTCTGGTGCAATGTATAGCACTGTATACCCAAAATATTGGGGTGCTACAGCACCTTCTCTTCTCACGACCATGTACTGGGTGGAGTGAGAGGGGGCAGGATGGTGCGGCACACACGACTGAACCATGCAGTGTGCGCAGGAGATGTGCATCTGCCAACGGTCGGTGAAAAAATTTCTAATGGTCTTGCAGATACAGTAACTGAATAAATGAATGTGCAGATACTGTACGGGTGGATGAGTGTATACAATACAGTACTGGGTAGATAGATAAAGAAAGAAAATCTAGTAATCGTTTAATTTTTTTTTGTTTATGGGTCATCACTGAGCATATGGCAGGCACATTACAGTACAGAGTACTACCTTTTATCAGGGCTAGACATATTAAATGGCAGGACACACTATCCTGATAGACTAGATTATTGCAAAAAGACAACTAACATTCTTATTTAGTTGAATTGCTGTAAAATTTGATCCCATTTTATTTTTATTTTACCTTTTTTACGGAGAATAGCACACCCAGGCACAGGTCCTCAGGGATGTGATTTCTCTGCAGTTTTCCGTTTTAGGTGACCCACGTGATTCGCGTAGATCCATTTAGAAAAATGGGGGGGGAGGGGTGTTGGTATGACCATGACAAGAGAAATGTTTGACAATAATTGACCCTCTAGGGTGGATGGGTCTGCTGCGCGAGGACAATGAGCGAGTATACTGAGTATAGTGGCCGCGCTGTACATGTTCATGCATTACATCATATACATACTCTATTTCTCATTGGCTGAGTATTGTATGTTTTGCATTCCCTTCTTCGATTCTTTAGTACAGTATTTCAATGACCAAAGACGTAATACAACGCCACTTTCTTAAGATCACAATTTATTCTATAACCCATGCCATATTTCATAGTTGTATAGGCAACCCGGTCGGGCGTGGTTGTGTCTCCCAGGGGGTCAGGGTTGTAGGGCATGTGTGTGTGTCCCCCAGGAGATCAGGGCTGTAGGGCATGTGTATGTGTGTCCCCCAGGAGGTAAGGGCTTTAGGTCATGTGTGTGTTCCCCAGGGGGTCAGGGTTGTAGGGCATGTGTGTGTCCCCCAAGGGGTCAGGGCTGTAGGGCATGTGTGTCCCCCCCAGGGGGTCAGGGTTGTAGGGCATGTTTGTCCCCCAGGGGGTCAGGGTTGTAGGGCATGTGTGTCCCCCAGGGGGTCAGGGTTGTAGGGCATGTGTGTGTGTCTCCCAGGAGGGGGACCCTATGATGTGTAAGAACATAAAACTCTCCAGTAGTGGGTATGTTAAAGCAGAAGAGTTTACAGCAGGAAGAAAATAAGAGGAAATTTTTTTTAAAGAAACAGTTAGAATCAAAGAAAAGAGAGTGAGGAAATGGCTACAAAATCAAGGAATAGCAGAGAGGCCTTCCAGCAACAAAAACGGAAGCGTTTACTCTCCCTGAAAAAAAAAACAACAACTAGCTGATGCCATTAAAACTAAGAATGAAACAAAACTAAATGAGTGAATATTACATTGGAAAGAAAACTAAATATTTCGTTTGTATATATCATAGAACATGATTAATTTTTATTATTTTAGTACTGTACTACATATGCTATTGAAACTCCAGTTGCTGGTGCATTAGAGATAAATCCCTTTGGTAAGTATTACATTTTGAATTCTCACACAATACAGTGCAAAAAAAGCTTACCTTTTAGTTTATCTTCCCTCAATAATGGTGCACAATTAAAAATATTAAACAAATTCAAGTTTAGTAACAACTAAAATTTGTAAAGGAATTATTAAGACTACAGTATAGTCTCGATTTAAGCGGATTTCGCTTACGCGTTTGGTCATTTACGCGGCACCTGGCCAGACCGGCAATTATTAGTTACGCGGTACATTCCATTATTTACGCGGGAAGCGGCGCGGGCAGGGTTCGCACAAGGTCGCCCAGTCTAACAAAACATTACCGAGTTCTTCACCCGCCACCCATCACAGCCAGCCCAAGTCAGTGATAGTGAGGATATGGACTTTGAGGGGTTTGACAAAGAGGCCCTGCAAGCCTCTGTGGTGGATAGTGATACAGGTGATACAAGTGATACAGGTGAGGGCCAATAATCTGCCCTCTGCCTCAGAACCAATCCCCCATCCCCGTGTACCCAGCCATCTCTTCTACTAACGTAAGTGTTAAAAAACCTAATATTATTGATATTTCTCTTAAATATTAATTGTGTATGCATACCATCATAAAATTAAGATGTTATTTTTACTACAACGTACGTATTGTGTCGGAAAAAGTGTAGCCTGGCGGTCGGCCCAGTCTCTGTTTCAATTAATCCCATATGTTCTGTTATTTCGTTTAAGCGTTCCTTGTTTTACGTGGACCTCCACGGGTTCAATTGACCGCATAAATCGAGACTATACTGTACAGTACAGGGTATATGCATGAAAAATATTATTGCAATAAACATACATGTTTGATTTTGGGTATTGTGTATTTTAACTATTAGGCACTCACAAAATGAGTAACAATGTGAGAAATTAAGTTAAAGATACAAAACTTCCTGGGTAAGTGTTTTCCCGGACCCCCAGCTCAAATTTTTTTTATTTTTACCAGCCACATCCCTGGGTCCTGGATTAAAATCCTCGGTAGGCTTTTACAGTTTGAACCCCTTGAGCCTTAAAGATAAATTTTCACTCCTCTTTCTTAGTCCCTGCTGATTTACAGTCCCACCTGAAGGCCATGGGAAGGAGACGAGGCCCAATGTTTCTATTCCTCAGCCATGAATGAAGGATTTTAGTATGAAATAAGTTAATTAACCATTTTAGAGCCTTTGGGTCATCACAAGTAACCTGTGAGAAAAACTACCACAAAGTCTTCCGTGTGCCCTTCAGTGTGGATATAAAGTTTATTACTATTATTTTTTTTTACACTGGACCTGTACTTACAAAACACAAACTTTTTAAAGTTTTATTTATCATATTAACAGTACTTTCAGTAACACTGAGAGAAAGTGCATCTTGACTGAGCATTTAGGTTATTTTATTTTACAGTGGTAGATATGGTACAGTAGCTACTTTAGTATAGTTCTGGCAAAGTCTTTTTGCCCATGTTGCCATCTATCCTTTGGCTGCTCCATTTAGGTAAGACTGCCAACTAAACTTCATCATTTTGTGTTACTCCATAATTTTTCCCAACAGAGCCACACATCTTGCTGTTCAGGCGACCAAGAACAGATGTGGACAAAGCTCAGAAGACAGAGAAGGTGATGTAACATCTTGAAATTTGCAAACAAGCTTTATCTTTTATTAAACCGGAGTTCCTCATACCGAGTATTTTTGAAACTTTCAAACATTTATTCTCAACAGTTGTGTCTGTCAGTGCGCATTTAAATTGTTAGAAAATTTTACTGAATAAGGTAAACAATATAACTGTACTGATGCGTATTACATATCCTGTCACTGTGTTACTGACCTCTCATATTTTATATAAAAAAAAAACATGAAAAAACAAAAATTCAACAGTAATTATGAAAGTACAGTACAGTATTTAAGAATGGGCAACAGGAGAATTTTACATACAATAATGTTTACTACAAGAAATTCATTTAAGTTTATGGTACACAAGTGAAAGTTGGACTTTTTCCTGATTTATTTCTGAATTTTTGTACATTACAGTGGGAGTATGCTATAACGAATCTAATTGGTTCTAGGACCTAGTTCGTTATAGCATTCGTTCGTTATAGGATTAATCCGTTCCAGGCCCCCAAATACAACCACTTAACACTGAAAAATATAATATAAAATTGTAAAAATTGTAAAAAAGTGCATAAATATGCTTCTAAACCCCTGAAATAAAGAATATCATTAATACTTGTAATAAAAAAAATAATAATTAAATAATGTTCGTTGTAGGAGTTTCGTTCGTTATAGCATTCTCAATTTTATAGGTAAAACCGTTCGTTATAGGAATATTCGTAGTAGGATCCGTTCGTTATAGCATACCCCACTGTATACTGTACCTTTGTGAGCTCTTTGTTTTATCTGGAAGATACTTTATTGTGCCACAATTGCATTTTTATTTAAGTTGAAATAAGAATTTGATAAAAGGCCATTGTACTGACTTTGATACAGTTGCCTAAAATTCAAGTTGTGCTTTACCCGCTGATCGTCAAGGCACCTATTACAGTATAAGCATATGTCTTAAAGATCTATGAATCACATCTCAAGGCCAACCCATTTAACCTGTTATAGTTGTGGAATTGAATCTTATCATGCCAAGTTTAGAGATGAAGGAAATCAAATGAGGAACATGATAAATATTTTTTATAGATACCTTAGGTCTTATACGGTATGCCTGTGTAATCTTGTAAACAAAGATGTAATTTATGACTGGGTCCTCCAGCGCAGCTTTCACATAAGTATTCAAAGTACAGTATATAATAATTGGCCAACCATTTATATGATTATTATTTTTTACATCATTTATTTGTCTCAAAGGCTGAGCACCATATGTAAGTTAATTTGGAGGTTTTAAAAGAAGAGATACTGTATTCTACTATACCTATATTAGACCAAGAGTATCGTAGCTGGGAACTGGCCATTGTAGCTGATACTCATCTCCGTATTAATTCTATTATAGTTATGACTTCTTCATTTCGTGAAAGGCCCTATTATGATATTCTATACAGTATTTGTAATACCCTGTATATATATATATATTTTTTCCTTTTGAAAACTTGAAGACTTAATGTACAAACTGAACAGTATTATACACCATATCAACCTGGATACTTGTCTTCTGTGGTCTGGTGTTGACTTCCTGTAAATTCATTTAGGAGAATTAGATCTTAAAGTGGAGCTTATACTACATGGACACTCATAACACTGGAGCAGCAATCTTAACCCTTCACTGTTGAATTACAATTACCTGGGTACACTGGAATAGGTTGAGCTGCCCAGCATAATGAGTAATATGGCCAATGGTGTCTTAAACAGCTGGGGGCATTAACGTCACATCCTCTAGCAGTCTGAATATTTTCCTTATACATTTTGTACAACATTTTCTATTGTTTTATGTATACAGTACTCATTACACCTATATTTATGCCTACAAATAATACTACAAGTACATACATATGGGACATTTTTGTAGAAATAATTTTTCCATAAAATTTTAGTTGAATGCAAGGATGTACAATCACTCATATAAAAGGAATAATAGGCCCCCAGGAGAGAGGTCTTAGAACTCTTGGCCTATCAGTTCTGGTAACAGTGTACCTACTGTAGGGGTGTGAGAGGTGGTGTTGTGGGGTCATTTCCATCTGCACAAACCATTGCACCTCTGGTCATGTCTCTTTTCATGCACAACTAATATGGGGTGAATATAACAGCAACTGTTGTCGAAAATGATTTCTCGTCCGTCCAGATTAGTGTTAAAAAATAGTTGTTCATCAACAACCTGGCTATAGTAACCAGCAAATTCAAGTCTTGCATCGCTATTTACCTGACTTAATTTTTCTTTCCTAGCCAGGATTGAACACCTTATTCCTGCCTCATCATTTCAGGATGACATCATAACTGTAATTCTTGAATGAGATCAACAGCTGATGTGTGTGGCCTCTCCAACACAACTTCCATAATTCGTTGATCGCGTTTGTGAGTTACAATTCGTGGACAACCACTCCTAGGACTGATAACGAGGGTGTCCTCCCCATCCCACCACCATATGCACTTTTTCACATTTTTAATGTTAACTCCTATTTCCCGGGTGATGGCTTGGCTTTCAAAAACATAACATCGTCCCTCATACCTATGATGGTTCCACGTTTGCTGAGAATTGCGGGCCTATCAGCACATCCCGTAGCCCTGTGTGCTCTCTGGTGGTGTCGTCTTCTAGGTTGGTTCATTCTGCAACATATATCAGACAAATATATAACCACTATACTTCATAACTTGTATTTCTACATGAAATTGTGCATCGTCTTTGGTCAATGCACGTATAATATCCTGTATATCATAAAGAGAGACAGATGTGCAGATAGACAGAGTGAGAAAGGGTGCTACTCTCCGACATATGTGTGACTTTGCACGAGTCATTCGTACTGACATCTCGCACACCAGTGGGTTATAAATTCTTTATACGACTACGCAAGTTTATAATGTGACGTTACTCGTGATGTTTGGGAGCATACTGCCTCCTTGGACATTTCTGCCCTCCTCAACTAGGAAAGCCCTCTCCCCGACACACTTATCCAAACCATGGTCGAGTAAATATATGAATGAACTCTCCTTTTTTGCAGAATAAGCTTAGTTCGGATATAGGTATAGTTATGTGGAACAAGGTCAATTTAGTGATGATATTAGAATCTTAAATATAATGCATAAAGGTAACATAATTATGCTGTTATATTCACCTCGTATTAGTTGTGTATGAAATGAGACATGAATCGAGGCAGTGGTTCGTGCAGAAGGCAGTGATCCACCACCTCTCCCCACCCCAACATCACTACTCATCCCAACCTCCTACATCAGGTTACATTGCTACAAATCTGAATTGCCACCAGTTACAAGAGCTCTCACCCAGGGGGCTCATTTTTTTATGAGTGACTGTACATGACCTCATTTTTTTATATTTCACTTAAAATATGAGATTGCATACAGTATCTGAAAATTGGTCATTAGGCGAATTCCCAATCAGCCATAAAAATTTTCAGCCCAAAACCCCATGGCATAAACTTAGATGTGCCCCAGCCCAAAGAGCTATCAATCCTAAAACCTGACCAAACAAATGTTAAAATACTGTTTTGGTACACTGTACAGAGGTATTTACCAGAATTGAAGATGAATCCTGCTTGTGTTGGCCTAACATTGTTGGTTGAAGGTGTAGATGGTTAGTGGGTGGAGGGGGCAGAGGCATCTTCCTCTGTCTCTCCATCTGAGGAATCTACTAGAGGTAATAAGCTCCTCCCATTGAATGTTATAACAACACTTGTAGATGGCTTTGGGAATCCTGAAGGTGGAGATGATGAGGGACAAAAATATCTTGTGATGGTGGGCTGTATAATTTTTTTCTGCTTCTCTCTGCAAATATTTTGCAGTCCAATTGCTGTAGTACATCCAGTTTTGTCTCCAAGGAGAGGCATTGCTCGGAGGGTGAGCTGTCTTCATTGGACTCATTGTTGAGTTTGATTGCAGAAGTAATGAAAAATGAGCGAACAGGGCAGAGGCCACAATGATAACCAAATGCACCAAGTTGCCTAGACTCACTGGTTAGCCAAGCTGGGTTAACCTGCCACTGACTTCACCTCAGAGTATAGAAAATGAGTCTACAAGAGCACTTTACTGGCTGGTTATTCAAAGTATGACTAGCCCAACTCCATGAATGATAATGTGAGCTGGGGCACTGGGAATTTTGCTCATCAAATCAAATACCATACGAGCCCATTTACTGGGTTTTTGTACCTAAAACACTATGCTTGTTAAACCAAATTCTCATTCATTGGGTACTAATTCAGCAGGACCTTTCCTTATTACATTTATATATGTTTATTTACTTCTTTTTCATGTACAATATTTACAATCCTGTTCACTCTAGAAACATAATTGGACAGTTCCTCTTCCCTATATCTGAGGTAACATCACTGGCATCTTGCCCTCCATTAGGCCCCAAGTGTAGATGTGGATGGCAAATTAGCTATTTTTCTCTACCTCTAAAATTGGCTGAAGAACTTTAATTCTTGTCAATTAGGTATATATAGGAATAACAAGACTTTACAGTGTAGCAGCCTAGTGCCGGATTTAGACCTGTGGAGGCCCATGGGCAGCCTCTTTGTGGAGGCCCCCCCTCATTATAACTACCCAAGAGGGTGGGGTGGTCAGTGAAGCGAGCCTAAACATCTGGGAGTTCCGGGGGGCGCTGTAAGCCCCCCGGGAAAATTTTGAAATTTGAACACTTCTTTGGAGAATTTTGAAGCCATATGCAGTTATATTGAGGAAATTAGAACATTGAGAAAATTTTTATTAACTGTATATTTATTGATAGTGTACAAATTCCCATGAATTTTAAAGAATGAAAATAAAAATAATCCAAATGAATAAACAAATAAATAAAATATTGTAATATGTGGAGGCCCCTGGGCAGCTGCCCACTCCTGAATCCAGCCCTGTAGCAGCCTGTACATTAATGGGAACAAATGTGAAGAGTTAACACTTCAAGTAAATGGAGCATATTGGCTTCTAAAAAATATAATTAAAACAAATTATTTACATAAGAATAATAGGAAGATTTCACTTGCTGACTTTTACATATGTTAAAGTGAGGTAAAACACTTTTTTATGTAAACATAAGCTTGGGATGTAGAGTGAATATGTCCTTTCTATTTTCCCATTCATTCCGTCCAGTATTGAGGTGCTCACTTTGTAAAATTTACCCCATCTTCAGTTCTCTTTGAAAGATTCTGAAACATGGTATTGTACAAACCTTATGAGGGATAGTAGATTTATATTATACTGTATAATAATATCAATTTAGTTTGTCTTTTTTCCCTAACTTTTACAGCATTTAGAAGTTAATTATTTTTTGTAAATAGTTTAGATATGGGTTGCCTAGTTTGTGAGTATAACTCTTATTACAGTATTCCTTGAAAGATTCTGGAACATTGCACAAACATTTTAAAAGGACACTTGAATTTTTTATTTTAAAATGCATTGTGTGGGAGGATTACTTCAAATTTTATCGTGTTTGGAAGTTAGGTCATACTTGTTTTGCAAATATCTTTTATGACCAAGGGATCATTACAAGTGATGTGTGAGAACACTACCACTAAACACACTGAATGCCTTGAACAAAGGGGAGGTCATGTACTGTAGTTGAATTGTAGTTTACACTATAGTATTTCCACGCTAACCTGGCCCATAAGCCACGCCCCTTTTATACTAATAGCTGTTTGGTTCATAGATAATTCAAACTAAATGTGTTCACAATTAGTAAGCAGACCTGTTATTATCTAAAATCATGTTAAATATATTGATTATCAAAATGCAGATGATTTCAAGGCATTAGCACTTCAGAGAGGATGTTATAAAATTTTAAATATTTATTATAAGAGGTCGATATAAATATGCACTTATACACTCACAGTCCGGGGAGGTAAGACGGTCAGGGGAACCAATCAGCTATTTGTAGCTATAGAGAAGGGGCCAGCTTAGTGTGGAAAGGGTATACTGTACTTATGTAGACAAGGCCAGATAATGAAATAATTCTTTAAGTAAAACTTCTCACCCAATTGGTTCTGGATCATGGACATCATAGGTTATTGGTTGGTTTGAAGTCCAGTGAGTTGAAAGGATGAGCTCACTTCAAACCTTTTAAGGCCATAAAGGAAGATCATACCTTTTTTTATTACCTACCAATTTATTTGTCGATAGCACGCCATGCCAGGGGGGCTACAGCCCTCTCGTCTGGGAGACCCAGCATGCCCGTCAGGGAAATTCAGCACATTTGTTGGGGAAGAGTCTTGGGTGTCAATTATAATGGTCGTAATTATACTTTAATTATTCAGCATAAATAAATTACTCATTCTCAGACTATTTGTTACAGTCTGTTCATGAATACAGGTTGTGCTTTGATTTAACCACAAACCATTAAATGGAAACTTGCATTTAATGGCAAAATTTGTAATAAAATATATTTAATGGCATTTACTGGCATACTCCACAAAATTTAAATTGGCGGGCGAGACCGTGAGCTTCTCCCACGCAGCACCTCATTTTCACTAGCTCTGTGGTCATGTTTATGGTTATCCCAGCAGATTGCCAGCACTGCTGTGTGTTTTGAAGCTGAATATTGTATGAAATAGATCAAGATGAATGTATAATAGGAATAGAATATGATTTATATTAAGATTCTGTATAAAACTACGTTTTGGTACATAGCAGTGGAGAGGTGGCGGAAAAGGTGATGGGTGGTAGAGGAGGAGGGAGGAGAGAACAACTCACCACCTCCTGCTCTGCAGCCTGTGATCCCTTTATAACTGCATGCAATTTCACCCATAATTATTTAGGTTCATTTGGTACCGGATTAATAAAACATTATAAAAGATATATTAATTTCCCCCCCCACCCTAAAATCCAATACTCAATCCCAGATGAGCTACTGTGCAGTAGTATATTCCTCTCTTGTTTACAGAGCGGTAACAGCTGATCGTTCCCGCTGACCCGCTCTCCCTAATAGTAATGCCAGCACTCACCATCTCTGAAGCACCATTGTTGTCACTGCTCAAGAGGGTTGGTGCCTATCACAGGATGTGTCTTGAGTACTTAGTAAATAAAATTGTAGCATATTTATTTGAACTTAATAAATATTATTGTTGTGTATAATGCATTTTCATATGCCCTGGTTTATTCACCGATTAATGAGTTGTGTAAGTGCCAAATTAGGCAAATCGAGCCATGATATATCAATTAATTTTGAAATATAAATTATAAATTAAAATGTTATAAGACAATGATTTAGTAGTGCTGTTAATGTGTGTGCTTGTCATGTCGTGTCACCTCACCCTCGCCACATCAACTCACCTCACAGTGTTACGTTTATGTATTTGTTCTGTATTATTTACTTTAATATTACTGCATGTACATTTAAAAAAAGATTATTTTTGCATAGTACGGTACAGTAGATTTTCAGTTGCCAGATACTTTACTGTAGTGGTTGCTGTCTTCTTAAGACTCATCATTGCTGGGTTTGATCATAAAAATAATGAGAGAGGAAAGGTGATGCACATAACACGAGGCAAAGAACATGATGATAAGAAAATACCGCCAAGTTGTCTAGGCTCACTGGCTAGCCAAGCTGGGTTAGCTTGCCACTGACTTCACCTCAATGACCACTCAGTCAGTGACAAAGCATGATTAGCCTGACTCCACGAATAATAATGCGAACTTGATCACTCTAAAACTTTCTTGCTAAATTTAATATAAATTCATTCACTTAAATTTAATTTTCATACTCTACAGCACTTGTTCAAGGGGACCTTACTGTGCTGTACAATCTAATAAATAATCAGCGTAATCCTAAAAAAATAATGATTAACACACTGAAAAACAAAAAAATAAAACATGAAAGCTATTTAACCTTAACCCTTGAAGAGAAATTACAAGAAAATTGTAATAATAAGTAACCAACACCACCTGAAAAAATAATATACTGTAAACAATTGCATAATTAATTTTCTTAAACTTAATGAGTAAAGAATTTCCATAACCCCTGAATATTATTACTATTAAAATTTTTATATCAAAGAGCCATGAGTTGCATGTACAGTGCCCTGCAGTTCTATGAGTGACAGGGACTAGAGCATTTAGAAAGATTATACTTAAAAGAGCTAACCAGACAACCACCACAACCAGATTTATATGTATACACTCCTCGCCATTGCATTATGCGCGAAGTGGCCGATGGGAAGTGATCTTTGCTGAAGTGTCTCACACCCCTCCACGCCAGCCAGCTGGGGCAGAGGCAGGCATTGTAAGTCTGGCAGCGAAGGGAGACTCAAAGACAAGTCAGCCAACAATCAAAACGTTCACCAGTTGCCCGAGTAAATTTTGTGAATGAAGATTTATGAGTTTTACCCCCACCCCCCCCCGACATTGCCCCTATTTATTGCCACAACGCCTGTTGTTTCTTTGCTTTTTTAGCACAATGGGCAAGAGGAAAGATTTAACAAAAGAGCAGATAGCGTCAATTATTAGTCTGCATAAGTGCAAGAAACCTGCAAAGGAAATACAGTCAACCCTCACTTTACGCGGTCCCACATTCCGCGTTTCCACGTTTACGCGGTGCCCTGCCAGAACCCAGGATGCTCACATTCCGCGGTGGGTGTACCCCTTTACACGGTGAAGTATAATTTTTTTATTTAGCTCATAAAATTCATACAAATTATCCAGCCAGAATATAATTTACATTGCTGGAATTCTTACAATTTGATGATCAATTTGAATATAAACATCATAGATTTTGCATTAGACATACAAATTTTAGATATAATGTTTACTCTTGAGTAAATATGTTATCTTTTGTGCAAAATATATGATATTTATATTCAAAATATTCCTGGTCTTACAAGGAATCCAGCAATGTCAATTATATTATCCTAACTTTAGTTTGAGGTATTTATTACTATACCTGGTTTTCCCCCCAAAATTTCTCAGAGGGAAGAGCTAGCAGTGTAGTGTGAGAAGAGGGGGAGGGAGTTGTGTCCATTATTTGAATGGACATTAACTTGGCGACTGTATTTCTCTATTTCTCTTAAGTATTAATTGTGTGCATGTACCATCATAAAATTAAGATGTTATTTTTACTAGAACATAGGTATTGTGTTGGAAAAAGTGGAGTTTGGGGGTCAGCTGGCCTCTATTTCATTTAATCCCATATGTTATGTTATTCACTTTACACGTTTCTCACTTTCCGCGGTACCCTGTGGGTTACATTAACCGTGTAAAGTGAGGGTTGACTGTATCAAGAATTGTTGGTGAGTGAACGATCAGTTCAGATTTGGATTAAACGATTTTGAGATGACGGCGGGTTGGCAATACTAGTGCACAACGGACGGCCAGGGAAGGCTCAAAAAACTTCCCAACACACGTTAACTGTTCATAAGAGGCAACTTGATGCTAATCCACGTATGTCAGCATGGGAATTGAAAGAAAAAACCCTGTACTTGTAGGTGATGTTTCTGTAAGGACCGTTCACCGCTGCATCCACGACGACCTGCAGTTTCACAGCCACTCCCCACCCCTGTCCAGAGGCAGCGTAGGGTCGCTTTTGCCAAGGCTAATGTTCAGTGGGATACGACCAAGTGGCAGCACGTGCTGTGGAGTGACAAGGCAACGGTTTTTTTTCCTGGAAGTCATACTTTTAATGTGTACAGGCACCCTGGGAGTGATTCGCTTGACCCCAAGTTCACTTTTAGCACAGTTAAGCATACTCATTCACTAATGGTGTGGGGATGCTTCTCATACTTTGGAACTGGTGATCTTCTTGTGCTACCTAGGAATGTGATGATGAACCACTTTAACTACTTGGAGCTGCTTTGTGATTATTTGCCCGAGTCTTTTGAAAAATGCCGCGCAGATGTGTTTATGCTGGACGGTACCTCACGTCACACAGCAAAATCGGTAATTCAATGGCTTGTTGACTGTCAGGTAGACTTCACATTGGAGATAGCGCGGTCAGTCCCAGCACCGGGATTTTTGGATGTTCAGGTTGAAGATTTGCAAGAAATCGTTGGTCAACGTCAGCAGCAACCAACAATTGAAGAAATGTTGGAGGAGGATGAAGAACAAGAAGAACCGCAAGCAACACTAGAGGATGACGGACATTAAGCCTGGCGAACCTATAACACGCCAGCTGACCGAGTTGCTCACAACCATTGCAACGTCTTGGTGAAATACGATGCCAGGCCTTATCCTCAGAACCTTATCTAACCTGTCCTTAATAAAGTTATGGAGAAATATAAGGCCTTGTACATGTCCCATGTTAATGCTCGTCAACAGGGCCCTTATTACTCGGCACCTGCGCAAGGCCTAGTCTGTTATTAATGCCTTGGCAAACATCACTTTAGGAGATGATGATGGCACCACTGATGATGATATTGAAGTGTTGGGTGACTTACTGGTGGAAGAGCTACCTCAAGGCTTTGAGGGATTTGATGCTGAGGTTAGGGGAGGTGTAGAGGAGAGAACAGGGAGGTAGGAGTAACCAGCCCTCCCTGCCTCAGAACCCATCAAGCAGCCCCGTCAAGCATTTCACTGACTCCATCAAGGTAAGTTATTCTACAGGGTGAGTGTATATAAGTATTGTTATCAACAACATGTACAATATAATATGTATGAATACATTACAGTAATGTCATTTTCTTGGTGGGTTGTAGATCATTATAGGGGGGTTTGGGTGACACTGCAGAACTTATTCGGCTTATTTACCGGTACATGTATTTCAATGTTACTCGTTTCGCGATTTTAAATATCACGTTACTAAAACCGATACCAATTAGTCTAAACTAGACATCTTGCACAGACAGACACTAGCCCACTTCCCCAGAACATTTCTGGGAGCTGGGGATGTTTTCCTCGAGTCAAACTATCGGAGTTCATAAATGCAGTTTTAATCAAGTTAGAAACTTCATTTCTTTACTATAATAATCCAGAATAGTTTATCTAAAAGTTTGGTAAAATAAATATATTTAAAAATTAAAAATTTGTATGATACAGGCATGAATGAAGCTGTGTGTTCCAGCAAAGACTGGTATTTTCCACTCCCATGGAGCTGTGGGGGATTAGTGGGTCTCGTGTAATTGACCTGATCTGACACAATATCAGGTGGAGATAGGGTAGGGGATTAGTGGTCTCATGACCTAAAGTATTTTTAGGGAGATTGTGATAAGTATAAGAATAAATGAGCAAAGTTGTATCCCTTCAACATTACATTACATAACATTTCAAAATATGAAGTGAGAAAGCAGAAAGGTGTGGGCGATTAGAGACATGGAGTGGAAAGGGGTATTGCCAAGTGCTCCTCAACAGCTGATATTTAACTCGCTACCACGCAGTCACACATACGTAACTTTGACATATAATAAGACCCCTCACGCGCACTCCGTGTGTGTGCGTAATAATAATACTGTAATAATAAACTGTTTATTAATAGAGTTGCAGCCGGTGGCTGAAAATATACAGACTTACATTTGATTTAGACATAATGATATAATATGCATTGAATACATTTACAGGGGTGTGTGTGTGTGTGTTTGGGGAGATGGTAGTTGGAGGGTGTGTTTGTGTGTGTGTGATGTAAGGGTGGAGGTGTGTGTGAGTGTTGTTGGAGGGGGTATGTGGGTAATGTTGGTGTGTGTAGCACAGAGTGGGTGATGTGGGGTGAGAGTGGTGTTGGAGGATGGCTGGGAGAGGTGAACTTTTCTCACTCAAGCATGGGTAATTGTGATAAGGAAATGGCCCAGCTGCTCAAGGCTACAAACGGAGAAAATACACCTTCGATCCGAGAATATTGGTGTGGCTTCAACATTCTTCATGCAATTGACAACATTGGCATGGCATGGGAAGAGGTTTCAGGAAGTTGCCTGAATGGTGTGTGGCGTAAATTGTGGCCCGAGTGCGTCAACAGTTTTACAAGATTCACGGACTTAGTGGCAGCAGTGAATAGGGATATCCTCAGCTTGGCCAGAGAGGCAGGCTTTGATGAGCTGAAATCAGTGGATATTGAGGACGTCCTGGCATCCCATACAGAAGAGCTAGCCAACGAAGATCTGCAACTGTTAACAGAATAGTCCGGTTGAAAACAACTACGAAGAAGAACCTCA